CCATTTCCATATTATCCCGTCTACAAACCCTATATATAATAGATAGAATCCATCTTGTCTACTAATATCAGTATCTTTATGATCTAATAATAGTTTAACTATTTCAATATTATTATGTTCACAGGCAATATTTAATAGACACATCAATGTACGTCTTGTATTATTATCAATATCAATAGCTTTTTGATCTAATAATAGTTTAACTATTTCAATATTATTATGTTCACAAGCACTATCTAACATTTTATTGATAATAATTTGAACGAATTGTTTTTCACTTTTATTCATTTTTAATAATTAATTTTAACTTTTAATTTCATACTTAATTCTATTTTTTTTATTCTTCTAAAAAAACTTTTATTTTATTTATTAAATCTTGTTTTTCATGTGTATGATTCTCAAGATTTTTTGCTGTAGTTATACGGTCATGATGTCTTATTGCTTCTTTCATATCTCTAAATTTAATTTCTTCTTCTAAAATAAGTTTAAATTCTTCTTCAGATATTTTTCCATCTTCAAGTGCTTTGGAAATATGATTATAAATTGTATTAAGTTTTGATTCTGATAAAATTAATATCTGTCTATGTTTATCAACTTTCTGTTGTAATTTTTTATTTATGAATTTTATTATAATACTTCCTGCTCCCATTCCTAAGGCAGCAATTTCCATTCCTAAAACTATTGGAGCAGCGATAATTGTTGTTAATAATCCAACTCCTGCAACTCCTGTTCCTATTGCAGCAGATGTTAAAATTGTGTCAGTGGTATTAAATGCTGATAAAACTTTTTTATATTTTTTTAATGTCTTTCTCCTATCTTCTTTATTTTTTTCAAAACAATTTTGTATGTCTAATATTTTTTGTATTCTATAATTGTTAGCTTCTATTGGTTCAATTGGTGGTGCAGTAGGTAATCGAGGATATATTCTTTCTGCTGTTTCCATTTTTATAGTCTAAAATAACATATTTAGAACAGGAATATTTTTAACTAAATCACCTAGAAATCATGACTTGCTGTATGATGTATGTGTCACTGTTGAACAGCTGGTCTAGTTCATATGCTCTCTCTACTCATGACTTCATGTCTGATGTGTGTGTCACTGTTGAACAGCTGGTCTAGTTCATATGCTCTCTCTACTCATGACTAGCTGTCTGATGTGTGTGTCACTGTTGAACAGCTGGTCTAGTTGTTGTGCTCTCTCTACTCATGACTTGCTTTGTGATGTATGTGTCACTGTTGAACAGCTGGTCTAGTTGTTGTGCTCTCTCTACTCATGACTTGCTTTGTGATGTATATGTCACTGTTGAACAGCTGGTCTAGTTCTTGAGCTCTCTCTACTCATGACTTGCTGTATGATGTATGTGTCACTGTTGAACAGCTGGTCTAGTTCTTGAGCTCTCTCTACTCATGACTTGCTGTGTGATGTATGTGTCACTGTTGAACAGCTGGTCTAGTTCTTGTGTTCTGTCTCACTGTTCAAGCTCTTGTACTCTGCCTATTCATGACTTGCTGTGTGATAAGTGTGTGCCACTGTTGAACAGCTGATCTAGTTCTTGCAGGTGTGGAGAATCTGCTGACTGTTGCTGGTGCTCAGAAAGAATTTCAGACCCTTCCAATCAGCCCTGAGTCCAGCATGCATGCCTCAGTGGCTCTGTCTAAAATCTATGATGACCTGGCCAATGACAAACTCAGAGAAAAATTTAAAGAGAAGTGTCATGATTACTTCAGGTTAGTTTGTGTTTTGTTATGTTCATTTCACAAATTGTGTTTTTATTTTGTTTCATTGTTTGTTTTTATTATAGGGGAGGGTTTCTCATGGTGAATTAATCAAGCCATTTGCCTCACGCTCTAAAGGTCATAGGTTTGTTTCACGGATACATTGTTTAGTTCACAAGTGCAATTTTTTTAAGGAGATTGTGGATCATCGTCAGAGCTGTGGTTTTTACTGTCTGTGTGACACTTGGTAGGGAGCTAGCCATTCTAGGGAGATTCTTGTAGATCATTATCAGAACTGTGGTTTTTACTGTCTGTGTGACACTTGGCAGGAAGCTAGCCATTCTACGGAGATTCTTGTAGATCATTATCAGAGCTGTGGTTTTTACTGTCTGTGTGACACTTGGCAGGGAGCTAGCCATTCTACGGAGATTCTTGTAGATCATTATCAGAGCTGTGGTTTTTACTGTCTGTGTGACATTTGGCAGGAAGCTAGCCATTCTATGGAGATTCTTGTAGATCTTTATCAGAACTGGTTTTTACGGTCTGTGTGACACTTGGCAGGGAGCTAGCCATTCTACGGAGATTCTTGTAGATCATTATCAGAGCTGTGGTTTTTACTGTCTGTGTGACACTTGGCAGGAAGCTAGCCATTCTATGGAGATTCTTGTAGATCTTTATCAGAACTGTGGTTTTTACTGTCTGTGTGACACTTGGCACTAAGCTAGCCATTCAATGGAGATTCTTGTAGATCTTTATCAGAACTGTGGTTTTTACTGTCTGTGTGACACTTGGCAGGGAGCTAGCCATTCTACGGAGATTCTTGTAGATCATTATCAGAGCTGTGGTTTTTACTGTCTGTGTGACACTTGGCAGGAAGCTAGCCATTCTACGGAGAAACCAAGCCATGGCAGTGAAGTCGATCCTCTCAACCTTAACTTTATTATTATTATTATTATTTCTGTATTCACCTAAGGATATGTCAGGTTTTGAGTAGACAGGTCATAAGTACGTGTCATGTCTTGAGTAGACACTTCATAAGTATATGTCATGTCTTGAGTAGACACTTCATAAGTATATCTCATGTCTTGAGTAGACACTTCATAAGTATATGTCATGTCTTGAGTAGACACTTCATAAGTAAATCTCATGTCTTGAGTAGACACTTCATAAGTATATTTCATGTCTTGAGTAGAGACTTAATAAGTATATCTCATGTCTTGAGTAGACACTTCATAAGTATATTTCATGTCTTGAGTAGAGACTTCATAAGTAGAATCTAGTACAAGGTGTCGTTCCCACAATTGGCCTGATAGTTTCATTATTCACTCGATCTCGTATGGTTAGGTTGGCTGCTTTTCTCAGGCACCTCATCTCGCAGGTGGTAATTTTGGGTATATGGGCTTTAGATAGTGTCCATGTTTGGCACTGGTAGCTTAATGTTGGAATAAATATGCTATTAATAATCTGTCTCTTTGCACTCATAGTTATGCTTGGATGTCTTAATAATGGTGACAATTGGTATATAAGTGCACTTGCTTTCTGACATCTGGTTTCTATTTCTCTGTCAATTCTACCATCTTCTGTGATCATACTTCCTAAATATTTAAACTCTCTAACTTGATTCAGGGCAGAACCATTCAGCTGTATATGTAGTAATAATAATAAAATCTACTAACTTGCATTGTTTCGGTTTTGTTTACATTGATCTTCATGTTGTATTTACTACATGCTGAGTTTAATCTGTTAATGTGGTCTTGAAGTCTATGTTCTTCAGGGTAGAACAAGCACTGGTCGTCAGCAAACAGTAGTTCGTTTAATGTGGGTGAATCGATTACTTCTCCTGATGTGTGTACTTTCTCGTAATTATAAAGGTCTATGTTGTCTGTATCATAACTTGCTTCTTTAGATATTCTGTCTATATAGATGTTAAATAAAAGTGGGGAGAGCACACATCCCTGTCTCACACCTGTGTTGACTGTGAACATATCTGATATGCCTTCTTGTGTTTTTACTGCACTTTGGCTTGTGTGGTACATGGCTATGATGTTCTCTAGTAACTGTCCTTGTACCCCGTAGTTCTCAAGAACAGACCACAGTTTGTTTCTTTCCACTCTATCAAAAGCTATTTCCTGATCTATAAACACAATATTCTGTTTGGTATTATACTCAATGGCTTTCTCACACACTTGCCTCAGAGTGAATAATGCATCTGTGCATCCTCTGCCCTTTCTGAAACCGAATTGTAATACACTCAGCTGTTGTTCTGCTATGGGTCTAACTCTCTGTTCTAGTAATTTGGCGTACATTTTTCTTACGTGACTCAGTAGTGATATACCTCTGTATGCTTCACATTCTCTCCTATTACCTTTCTTTTTCCATATCGGTACTATTAATGCCTGTTGCCACTCAGCTGGGACCTTTCTTTCTTCCCAAGCTATATTAAACATTCTAGTAAGCCATTTAACACCCACTTCTACGCGGGCTTGAATCCCTTCTGTATTAATTCCATCCAGACCTGGTGCCTTGTTTCTAGGGCTGTTCTGTATAACTGCTGTTACTTCCACTGCTATGAAATTTGGTTCCTCTTGCTCGCAGCTTTGAGGTAAAAAGTTAAAATTATCTACGTTGCCTGTGGGGTTGAGAAGTTCTTGAAAATACTCTGCCCATCTTGCCAACCTCTGTTGTGGACTAAACAGAGGTATTCCTCTCTTGTTGTTGATGATAACAGTACAGTTCTGTAACAGTATACTGAGTGTAAAAGACAACTGAATCAGTACACTGGGTGTAACAGACTACTGTAACTGTACACTGGGTGTAACAGACTACTGTAACAGTAAACTGGGTGTAACAGACTTCTGTTACAGTACACTGAGTGTAATAGACTACTGAAACAGTACACTGGGTGTAACAGACTACTGTAACAGTACACTAGGTGTAACAGACTACTGAAACAGTACACTGGGTGTAACAGACTACTGTAACAGTACACTGAGGGTAACAGACTACTGAAACAGTACACTGGGTGTAACAGACTACTGAAACAGTACACTGGGTGTAACAGACTACTGTAACAGTACACTGGGTTAACAGACCACTGCGGCACTATCTAGTCTTCCACACCCCCAAGCTTAATCAGGTGCGCCTAAACAAAAAAGGGTAATAAGTAGGGCTGTACCGAATACGAATAGCGGGACCAACTATTCGGCCAAATATGAAGGGGAATAGTGTATCATCATCATCAGGTGCCTTGCCGACTGGCGTGGGCGAGTATGCCTTGCCACAGTCTGCGATCTCCTGCAGCATGTATTAGTTCGTGTGTTGACACACCTCCATGCCATGCAACAAGACTGTCAAGAATCTTCTCTCGTTGACTTTCTTTATCCCTCCTTCCACAGATCTTTCCAGTGGTCACCCCATGTTCCATTTTTCTTCTTCCATAACATGGCCGAAAAATGATGATTGTCTCTTTCTGATGTCTGTGATTAGTTGTCTTTGGGCTCCCGCAACTTTCAAAACCTCTTAGTTGCTTGTTTTGGCTGTCCATGGTATTTTAAGGATTGTTCTGTAAAACCACATCTCTGAGACCTCGAGAAATTGTTTGGCCTGCCTACCGATTGTCCAGGACTCAAACGCATTGCCTTTAAATACAAGTACTTACTTGACGAGGCTAACAGTGACTATTATACAGACCACATTTTCAACTTTAAAATTTTAGCCAAAATGTAATCACAACCTTACTTATCCGCTGCACCTTCACGAATACAGATGGAGAATTGGTCGCACCTCGAGTTAAATACAAAGAAAATTTGTTAGCACGCTGCGGTTGGCATTTTATGCAGTATTATATACTTTGAGTGTGAAACAAGGAAAAAACTCTTTTTGACAGTGGCAAGGAAAGACAATTTAAAGTTTTAACTTTTAAGTATCTTCATGCTTTCTTTAATGATATCACAATGTATAGCTGACTTTTTTTTTTTTTCGCTGTGGCACCCCTGGCATACGCAACCAGTTTGAGAACCTCTGCTGTAATGCCTCGGTCCAGTCAGCAGGCAAAGACTTTTCCAGCTGCTGTACCAGGCAACCAGGTCACAGTTTCCCCCGCTACAACAGACTTAGGCAACAGCAACTATTGTGTTAATGAGAGAGTTTTTTCAATCCATCGCAGTGTATGCAAAATGGGTGTAAGGTAACCACTATTCATATTCGGCCCGACCGCAAGTATTCGGCTGAATACCTAATAGTTATTAAGTCCACTATTCGACCCAAAGCGAATATTCGGTACAGCCCTAGTAATAATACACAATAGATAAACTGTGCAATATCTATTTGTTACAACATTCTTATGTTAACAAATGTTGTTGATCTAGGTATTACAAAACGCATTCTCAGGCCTTACTTGACTGTCTCTCTCACTCGCCCGTCCTTAGGTTTTCCTCCTCTCTCTCTTTCTCTCCCTACTTATCTTTCCCTATTCCTGGTTATCTCATTTCCCTGGAAGTGTAAGTGATCTGCCGTCACTGCCATCCGTCCCCTGTTCATTCTTCTCTTCCTAGATTCTCTGGCATATTTCTAGCGCTTCGGCTCGCTGGACCTGACTACCTCAGAGCGATGTGTGTTACCGTACCTAATCTCAAGGGGGATCCTGTTCCGCCCGGTGTCACCATGCATCTAACGAATTGGCTTCCTTTCTGTGTATGAGTGACTAATGGCAAATAGCTGGCAAAGTTTTCAAGAGTTAATTGCTTCTACCACTCATTATTAACCCTACCAGACCGCTGGCCCGATTTTCCGGGAATTTCTTAACCTGACGCTATACCGCTGGCCCTAATTTTCGGCTATTTGCGTAGTACGGGAAAAAGATGCGTCACGGACTAAAAATAACCAGCCAATCGTAATCAGATCTCGTGGATAGTCTTCCTAGATGTCCGCCTGCATGTGTTTGGGTAAAAAAATTTTGTTTTATGTGAAAAAATTCTGAAAATTCACAATAAAACGAGCAGCTGATGAGCCAAGCACTTCGACAGGCAAGTAAAGTAGGTCTAGGCTTTTCACAGTCAACAGGTGATCGATACTTTAGTTTATTCAGACTGCGGAGTTATAGTTTAATGAAGAATACATTCACAGTTGAAGTGACACCTTCAGCTCGAATAATGACAAGAATCTTGAGAATTATAAATCTAGAAATTGTTCGATAGTAAGAGAAGGGGATGTGTCCCTCAAACAGCAACATCTGGTGCTCACTTTTTGAAACAGTCCTGAGGCTCCTGAGTGGATTGGCACATAAAGGTGGAATATTGGCGCTAGATAAAAGATAAGCCTATTTTCTACAATGTCTCCAAGTTTCTAGCCACTTGTTTGCATGTAACTAATATTTTTGTATATCATGTTGGTTTTTCGCGGTAATGCCCAGGATCTCAGGTATAGGGTACAGTTAGGTTCAGGACCTCAGGTCTGGTAGGGTTAATCCCAAGGGGACTGGCTCTTTCCTAAACTATGACTGTTTGCCTTCAACTGTTCTACACTACTAAAACAGTACACTAGATGTAACAGACTACTAAAGCAGTAAACTAGATGTAACAGACTACTAAAGCAGTAAACTAGATGTAACAGACTACTAAAGCAGTAAACTAGATGTAACAGACTACTAAAGCAGTAAACTAGATGTAACAGACTACCAAAGCAGTAAACTAGATGTAACAGACTACTAAAGCAGTAAACTAGATGTAACAGACTACTAAAGCAGTAAACTAGATGTAACAGACTACTAAAGCAGTAAACTAGATGTAACAGACTACTAAAGCAGTACACTTGGAGTAACAGACTACTAAAGCAGTAAACTAGATGTAACAGACTACTAAAACAGTACACTAGATGTAACAGACTACTAAAGCAGTACACTAGATGTAACAGACTACTAAAGCAGTACACTTGGAGTAACAGACTACTAAAACAGTAAACTAGATGTAACAGACTACTAAAACAGTACACTAGATGTAACAGACTACTAAAACAGTACACTTGGAGTAACAGACTACTAAAGCAGTACACTAGATGTAACAGACTACTAAAACAGTAAACTAGATGTAACAGACTACTAAAGCAGTACACTTGGAGTAACAGACTACTAAAGCAGTACACTAGATGTAACAGACTACTAAAACAGTAAACTAGATGTAACAGACTACTAAAGCAGTACACTAGATGTAACAGACTACTAAAACAGTAAACTAGATGTAACAGACTACTAAAACAGTAAACTAGATGTAACAGACTACTAAAGCAGTACACTTGGAGTAACAGACTACTAAAGCAGTACACTAGATGTAACAGACTACTAAAGCAGTACACTAGATGTAACAGACTACTAAAGCAGTACACTAGATGTAACAGATTACTAAAGCAGTACACTAGATGTAACAGATTACTAAAGCAGTACACTAGATGTAACAGATTACTAAAGCAGTACACTAGATGTAACAGATTACTAAAACAGTACACTAGATGTAACAGATTACTAAAACAGTACACTAGATGTAACAGATTACTAAAGCAGTAAACTAGATGTAACAGATTACTAAAGCAGTAAACTAGATGTAACAGACTACTAAAGCAGTACACTTGGAGTAACAGACTACTAAAGCAGTAAACTAGATGTAACAGACTACTAAAGCAGTACACTGGGAGTAACAGACTACTAAAACAGTAAACTAGATGTAACAGACTACTAAAGCAGTAAACTAGATGTAACAGACTACTAAAACAGTAAACTAGATGTAACAGACTACTAGAGCAGTAAACTAGATGTAACAGACTACTAAAACAGTAAACTAGATGTAACAGACTACTAGAGCAGTAAACTAGATGTAACAGACTACTATAGCAGTACACTGGGAGTAACAGACTACTAAAACAGTAAACTAGATGTAACAGACTACTAAAGCAGTAAACTAGATGTAACAGACTACTAAAACAGTAAACTAGATGTAACAGACTACTAAAACAGTAAACTAGATGTAACAGACTACTAAAGCAGTACACTAGATGTAACAGACTACTAAAGCAGTACACTAGATGTAACAGACTACTAAAGCAGTACACTTGGAGTAACAGACTACTAAAGCAGTAAACTAGATGTAACAGACTACTAAAGCAGTACACTGGGAGTAACAGACTACTAAAGCAGTACACTAGATGTAACAGACTACTAAAGCAGTACACTAGATGTAACAGACTACTAAAGCAGTACACTAGATGTAACAGACTAATAAAACAGTAAACTAGATGTAACAGACTACTAAAGCAGTAAACTAGATGTAACAGACTACTAAAGCAGTACACTGGGAGAAACAGACTACCAAAACAGTAAACTAGATGTAACAGACTACTGAAGCAGTACACTGGGAGAAACAGACTACTAAAACCGTACACTGGGAGAAACAGACTACTAAAACAGTAAACTAGATGTAACAGACTACTAAAGCAGTACACTGGGAGAAACAGACTACTAAAGCAGTACACTAGATGTAACAGACTACTAAAGCAGTACACTGGGAGAAACAGACTACTAAAACAGTAAACTAGATGTAACAAACTACTAAAGCAGTACACTAGATGTAACAGACTACTAAAGCAGTACACTAGATGTAACAGACTACTAAAGCAGTACACTGGGAGAAACAGACTACTAAAGCAGTACACTAGATGTAACAGACTACTAAAACCGTACACTGGGAGAAACAGACTACTAAAACCGTACACTTGGAGTAACAGACTTCTAAAACAGAAAATTAGGCGTGACAAACTACTAAAACAGTACATTAAGAGTAACAGTGCACTCACACAAAAAAACCACAACCTATTTTGTTTCCTCTGTCATCCTTATAGAGATCTGTTTGCAGATGGAATTTTGGAGTCAAAGATTGAGGCAGTTGCTGCTTTAGCAACACTCTTAAAGGTAATGCTTGATCCTCTCACATATTTCTGCTAATATGAACATCCATGTGCAGAAAACATTACCACTGCAAGTCATGAAAGTCCAAAAAATTAAACCACCTCATAAAAAAGCAACTAAAATAGATTTTGTATTCAGAAAATGTATATACATAGGTGACAGTGTATGGGAGGATTATGCCTTCCCAAGTGAGTGTTTATTGTTCAGATAAAGAAGGAAGTTAGGAGACATATAAGGCAAAGTTAAATATTTAAACGACCTAACACAAGAAGCAGAGACAGGAGCAGCAGCAAAAGGAAACCTAAGAGACCTTTACAGTAACTCAAGGAAATTAGTATGTAAATATAGTCGACCAACTGGATGAATCAAAAATAGTTAAGGAAAGGTAATCTTAACACTAATGATAAAATGGACAGATGGGCTGAATATTTTGAAATACTTCTGAATAGGCCAGCTCCGGAGGTTCCTTTAGATATCCAGCCTTGAGAAATGGAAATGAATATATCAACTGTGAGATACCATCTAAAGAGAAAATAAGAAAAACTATCAATCTTCTGAAGGAAGGAAAGGTGGCAGGTCCAGATGGTATCCCAGCAGAAGCTATTAAGGCCAGCATAAACACAACAGAATTGCTACATAGATTATTTAGTAAAGTCTGGGAGACCAATGAAATACCAGAAGACTGGTTAGACTTGTGAAACTGTCCAAAAATAGGTGATTTATAGGAGTGTGAGATCTATAGAGGAATTATGTTGCTTTCAGTTTCTGTGAAATATTAAGTAGGATTACTTTGGAAAGACTAAAAGATGCTATTGATAAATATTGATAAAATGCTAAGAGATAAACAGGCAGTTTTTCTGCCAAACAGATAGTATACTGACCAGATAGCCACAGTACATATAGTAATCGAGCAAAGCATTGAATTGAATTCACCACATTACATTGGATTCATAGACAGTGAACAAGCTTTTGACAGCATTGGTATGGATTCACTGGGGTTGCTCAATGACTCAAAGAGTCAACTAATGAAACTGGAGCACATACAGAATGAAGGAGTGGGTCAGAGTACCAGAGGAAAAGTCTGCCCTGTTTAGGGGCTGTACAGTCACAGCAAATCAAGCGGAAAATCTGTGCGATAAACGACAGCACAAGATACTTGGGGGTAGAAAAGTAAACAAAGGAATCCTTGAGGTTGACTCGTGATCAGTGGGGAGCTTGAATGAGACAGTTAAGATGGTTATGATGTAGTAATTGAAATGACTTAATGTCATGTAGAAGATCATTGTGGATCTATTGTGGAAACGAGTAGCCATGTTGATGAATAACTGAAATGTGAGAATACAAAAGAATAAACTGATGGAATGCATATTTGGAGATGTTTGGCATGATTAATTGCAGAAAGTTGTCTGTTCCCAAGCGAGCCAGCATTATTACAAGTATAAAGAAGCATTCTTACAAGAAGGAGATTTCATACAAGGGTCATGATTATACAAACAGAGAGTGGCCAGTGGTGGCTACAGAGGGGGAGGAATGAACAGCAGACAGATTGGCTGGATCTGCATCACTGGGTGATAAATTGATTAATGACAAGGCAGATGTGGTCAGGGCCCTTTGGGAACAAGTAACATAGTCAGTAGAGAAACAAGATTATAATGGCCTAGAGAGAATGATGCACCTGGGTGTGACCAGAGGGTCTGGCCTGCTCACTGCATACACAGGAAAGGCAAGACAGACATATAACCAGACTACAACCAGTACTATTTGTATTGAAACTCTGCACTCGCTGCTGAAGATGGGGACAGAGCACATATGGGAATGCTCTGAGTGCTGTGATGTCAATTCTTGACTCAGCTCAACAGTTGATAGGGAATCTCTCTAGATATTAATAGAGCACCATGGAATCCCATAAAGAGTTATTAACTTAGTAAAGGCAACATATAAAGACATAAAATGTCAAGTTCTTCTTGAGAGAAAGATAACAGATACATTTGAAATAAAAACAGGTGTGCGACAGGTATGTTGTAATTTACTGAGTACATATGTGATAATTTACAGAGCACATATGTTGTAATTTACTAAGTACATATGTTGTAATATACAGAGCACAAAAGTTGTAATTTACTGAGTACATATGTTGTAATATACAGAGCACATATGTTGTAATTTACTGAGTACATATGTTGCAATATACAGAGCACATATGTTGTAATTTACTGAGTACATATGTTGTAATATACAGAGCACATATGTTGTAATTTACTGAGTACATATGTTGCAATATACAGAGCACATATGTTGTAATTTACTGAGTACATATGTTGTAATATACAGAGCACATATGTTGTAATTTACTGAGTACATATGTTGTAATATACAGAGCACAAAAGTTGTAATTTACTGAGTACATATGTTGCAATATACAGAGCACATATGTTGTAATTTACTGAGTACATATGTTGTAATATACAGAGCACATATGTTGTAATTTACTGAGTACATATGTTGTAATATACAGGGCACATATGTTGTAATATACTGAGTACATGTTTGTAATGTATAATATACATATATGCCACTGACAGGGAACATACGAAGTGGGAGGTATGCTGCTGGGAATCGAGGGAGTGACACAGTTGATGTTTACCTTGGCTGAAAGTGACAACCCTCAGTATCAGGTAATGTGTACTTGGATACCAGATCTGGGATGTATCAGTTGTTGTGACTGGGCTGTTCCAATTGTTCTGATGGGGCTGTACCAGTTGTTGTGATGGGGTGTACCAGTTGTTGTGACTGGGCTGTATCAGTTGTGATAAGGTGTACCAGTTGTTGTGGAGCTAGACCAGTTTTTGTGCTGTGTTTGTACCAGTTGTTGTGTCAGGGCTGTACTGGTGTTTTGTGACTGGACTGTACCAATTGTTATGAATTTACTCTGTCAGTCATTGTGACTGGCCTGTACCAGATATTGTGATCAAAAACTGATGTCATGGCAGTTTTTCAGTGAAAAGTCTCTACAGGCTCAGTTGGCAGTGTCACACTTGGAGGATGGTAGATTCATTGAGAACATCTTCTGTGGTGAATTGCAAAAGACTACTACTACAGTACAAAATGTAAACATAAATGGGGCATTAACAATACGGTTTTTGAGGTGGATTGGTGAGAACACAATTGCATGGACCTTATTGCATTGAAAAGAATAGGAATAAATCAGATAGGGATCACAGGCAGTTTCAGAGCTGAGAACAAGCACATGAAATACAAGCAATAGAAATGATGGTCCTTAATCCCATACACTAATTGTAGAGGGCTGTTCTAAATGCAAGTGGGTCTTTCTAGATGTGGCTAGAACTTCCCACTTCCATGGGCTGCTATTGCCCTGCCTCCCTGTAACACAGTATAACACTAAAGTCTGGAAAGATGGACAGGTGCCAACAACAGATGCTGTATGTGTGGTATTTGAGCCATATCATTGGAACAGTTTGTGGATGTTCCTGGAATACCTTTTTTGTCATTCATATTCTGTTTTTTTAAGATTGTGCTGAGTGCATTGTTTTTGTTGATTAAGTGTTGTGATGGGTGTATATGCTTATCATTAGAGGGGTGAATGACATGAACACATCTGGCAACCTTCAGACCTCAGGGTTGCTGAATTTGTAAAAATGCCTGATTGACAACCATCTGTGATCAACAGTGCGCAGTGTTTACATTTTACACCACCTCTGTTTAATTGTACTGATTTCATAATATGACTGTATAACAATCCATAAAGGATAAAAAGGCAAGGACTAAGCATGTTCACCCATGTCTTGTATGGTGTTAGCGGGTGTTTACCCATGTCTTTGATTATATAAACTTAGATGTTAAATGAACTTAGATGTGTGTATATATATATATATATACTGATCTGTTTCAGTTCTAGTAGTTATACTAGTAGTTGAGGTATGTTACATGTGGTGTTTACATATTGTTGACCCATGGCTTGCCAGTTGTTTGCACTGTTGTTGACCCATGTCTTGTGCGTTGTTTGTACTTTTGTTGACCCATTTCTTGTGAGTTGTTTGCACTTTTGTTGACCCATTTCTTGTGAGTTGTGTCTACTGTTGTTGACCCATATCTTGTTAGTTGTTTATTCTGTTGTGACTAACATCCTGTAAGTTGTTTGTGCTGTTGTTGAACAATGTCTTGTGAGTTGATGACCCATGTCTTGTGAGTTGTTTGTACTGTTGTTCAGCCATGTCGTGTGAGTTTTGGTCTTTGGGAGCACTAATGATGTGCTTAATCATATCAAACACTGTAATCCACATAATTATTTTGTTGTTTAAATACAACAGCGTGTGGCAGTGGAAGCCATAGTCAGCTCTGCATCCAAGAAAGACAAGTGCAGTGGCATTCTGCAAGATGCTGTACCCATTCTGAAAAAGCTTTATCAGTCATCAGAAGACCACATCAAAGTGAGAGCACTAGTGGTAGGTGGCTCCTTTACTTTTCATTGTTCACAGTTGTAGTTCTAGTGGTAGATAGCATATCCTTCATTCTTCACAGTTTAGATTTCTAGTTGTAGGTAGTATATCCTTCATTCTTCACAGTTGAGAGTTCTAGTGGTAGGTAGTATATCCTTCATTCTTCACAGTTGAGAGTTATAGTGGTAGGTAGCATATCCTTCATTCTTCACAGTTGAGAGCTCTGGTGGTAGGTAGTATATCCTTCATTCTTCACAGTTTAGAGTTCTAGCGGTGGGTAGTGTATCTTTCATTCGTCACAGTTTAGAGTTCTAGTGATAGGTAGCATATCTTTCATTCTTCACAGTCTAGGGTTCTAGCGGTAGGTAGTATATCCCTTAACAGTTTAGATTTCTAGTAGTAGGTAGTATATCCTTCATTCTTTACATTGAGAGCTCTAGTGGTGGGTAGTATATCCTTCATTCCTCACAGTTAGAGCTCTGGTGGTAGGTAGCATATCCTTCATTCTTTACATTGAGAGCTCTAGTGGTAGGTAGTATATCATTCATTCTTCACAGTTTAGAGTTATAGTGGTAGGTAGTATATCATTCATTCTTCACAGTTGAGAGTTCTAGTGGTAGGTAGCATATCCTTCATTCTTCACAGTGAGAGCTCTGGTGGTAGGTAGTATATCCTTCATTCTTCACAGTGAGAGCTCTGGTGGTAGGTAGTATATCATTCATTCTTCACAGTTTAGATTTCTAGTTTTAGGTAGTATATCCTTCATTCTTCACAGTTTAGAGTTCTAGTGGTAGGTAGTATATCCTTCATTCTTCACAGTTTAGAGTTCTAGTGGTAGGTAGTATATCATTCATTCTTCACAGTTTAGAGTTCTAGTGGTAGGTAGTATATCCTTCATTCTTCACAGTTTAGAGTTCTAGTGGTAGGTAGTATATCCTTCATTCTTCACAGTTTAGAGTTCTAGTGGTAGGTAGTATATCATTCATTCTTCACAGTTTAGATTTCTAGTTTTAGGTAGTATATCCTTCATTCTTCACAGTTGAGAGCTCTAGTGGTAGGTAGTATATCCTTCATTCTTCACAGTTTAGAGTTCTAGTGGTAGGTAGTATATCCTTCATTCTTCACAGTTTAGATTTCTAGTGGTAGGTAGTATATCATTCATTCCTCACATTGAGAGCTCTAGTGGTAGGTAGTATATCCTTCATTCTTCACAGTTTAGATTTCTAGTGGTAGGTAGTATATCATTCATTCCTCACAGTGAGAGCTCTAGTGGTAGGTAGTATATCATTCATTCCTCACATTGAGAGCTCTAGTGGTAGGTAGAATATCCTTCATTATTACATTGAGAGCTCTAGTGGTAGGTAGTATATCATTCATTCCTCACAGTTTAGATTTCTAGTGGTAGATAGTACCCAACCTGATCTAGCTTTTGGTGCAGCTGCGAGATATTCTCAAGAGAAAAGTCCCTATAGCTTTCAAAACGATAGCACATATCAGAGAAAACCACGACACACAATAACAATACGGGGAACTCTAATAATATGTTAACACTGCAAACACACCCATGGTAGCCTAGATATGTGTGATAAAAATCTGAATTACATGAAATATCTACGAGATTTTGTCCAAATACAACACTCTAAGGTCACAAGGTATACCAAAAATCTACAGTGCTTCAAATGTGGGGCATTTGGCCATATACGCAGGGATTGCTATGCAAGAAGTATACTAAGAGAGGCTAATTTGACTATGAATTCATCAAGCAGTGAATCAGAAGAAGTATTAATAGCCAACTCAGTCCAAGAGATTGCCGCTGGGGATTGAAAACTGCAAAATATGCAAAGAATTCCATGAAGATAGGAATCTTACTTGCGGACACAGGTGCCTATTCAAGAAGCACCCACGGCTAGCATGACCAGTGGATCCTTGCACTACGTCAAGGGATTCGCTAACAGTATACCTTGCACAGTAGTTCGAATTACAGGCGCTACACTAATTGGTGTGCACAGAGCAAGAGAAGACTACACAGGTGAGCACATTGTGTGCAGAACTTTTGGAGTCATTAAGGAACAATATAAGGTAGCTATCGTTAAAATAAATTGCCTTTTTTACACTGGCATAACAGCAGTACTCCCTGAGCCATGTGCTGGAATACTCAGTGGTAATGTACCAGATGTAAATACTGGTGCGGAGTTAGCAGTCAAGAACTGGGAGGAACAGTTTCCAAACGTAAATGCTGTCCCAAGATAGCAAATGCAAAAAGGAGAAGATAAAGCACAGATTTGATTCAATCCATCAGCATTCCTAACATAGAAACCCCAGCATGTGATCAACCCGCATTTTTAGAACTCCTGAGAATGGACCCAACATTAAAGAGATGTTTTAACCTCGTAAATGAAAAGCCAAGAATTTCAAAGTTTGGTAGATGGTCATTTACACTGAAAAAGGATATCTTGGCAAGGGTGTATAAGAAAGGATCGATGATAGTATCACAAACGGTGCTGCCAGAACAGTTTTGCAGAAAAGTACTAGAAATGGCACATGATGCGCCGTTTTCTGGCCACATGGTAACAGCTGAAACAAAATCAAGAATCTTGTGACGGTTCTGCTGGCCCGGTTACAGCAAGGATACAAAAATTTTTGTTCGTACTTGTGAGATTTGTCAAAAACAGTCACAGAAAGAAGAAAACCCAAAGACTCATTCATATCCAGGTGACTGACTTAGCATCTAGACCATTTCAAAAAAATTGCAGTGGATGTAATCGGACCATTAAATATTACATCAAGTAAGGAAAACATATATATCCTTACAGTAATGGATTTGTGTACCAGATGGCCTGAAGCAATTACAGCTGAGGCTATTGTAGAAGCCTTCATGCATATTTTCTCAAGAATTGGCTTCCCTGGAACAATTCTTTTCGACAGAGGAACACAGTTTATCTCTGCTGCCACACACGCAGTCACTAAAATAATGGGCATTAAACAGCAATTTTCCAGTCCTAAATGGCACGTTGAAAATAATGTTGGCAAAAATCTCAGCTGAACGGCCCAAGACTGGGACATATTTCTACCAGCCAATTCTGTTCGCTAATAAGAGAGGTGCCACAGAATAGTACAGGATAGATACTTGACACCGATTCGCTAGATATTCGGCTTGAGTCGGTCTTGACTAGTTACCTTGGTCGGCGCTGCGTTTGGGTTTTAGCAGCCTGCTTACATACCAGCACCTGAAGCGTTAAGTATTGAATACTGTTTGGAAAGCACACTTGGAGTCCTTTTCAGGATTCTCAACAAGTCTTGCCGACCTCTCAGATATCAAGCTTTTCCTAAGCACCTTGTAGGCACCGCCTAGATACCTCTATTGACAAGATGGGGAAAGCTAAGAAACAAGTCAGTGCCTCTCCACCAAAGAAAACGCAGCCTAATGTAGCTGAAGCCTCCGCTACCGACAACAGTCAGCTCAAGTACCGCTGAGCCCAGTTGCAGAGATCGAAGTAGCACCAGAGACCCAGCAACCAGCCATCACAACCCAGTGCCGCTGACGCTCCTGATGACCAGCCAGAAACAAGGTCACCGAAACACAGTGTCACGCGCAAGAACCAGCAGCAGCAGATGTCCTGCAGTCCAGAGATCCTACAGTGAGCCCGTTGCAATTGGGCATGGCACACCGCCACAACCTTTTGAAGCGGGCCCATTTGTCGATACTGTTCAGGGACGCACTGCTTTTAGGAGTGCCCCCTGGCAAAATTAGACCAGGATTTCAAGAGGCCGAACGCTAACAGACGCTCGAACTGCACAGACGCTCACAGTGCGATGTATCTGGGATGCCCGTACCTCAAAGACACGAAGAGAGGAGTGTCCAGTGCCGTAGCAAGGAAAAAGCAGAGATACCAGGCGCCCGGACCCACCAGACCGTATGTAACAAACCAACTGAGAAGCCAGCCTACCTTGCCATCAAAAGACCACGACCTAGTGCAAGCTATTTCGGAACTGTGATCCGAACTGAAGAAGGAAAAAGCCTCTGCCGCCGCTGAAAAAGCTGAGACGCATGAGTTAATCACCCTAATGCTGAGAGAAATAAAAGCCCTGAAAGAGGACAGAACAGCCTACGAAGCACAACAAATCTACAAGACGCAGAAACTAAAGAAAGCATCAAGGCATTAATCGCAAGTTTGGCAGCTGTACAGGCAGCAGACTAGAGGCGCAAACAGGAAGAGAGGAGGAGAAAAGCAGAGAGGTGGCCTTGCTGAAAGAGGCGAGAGAGGAAGCCTACAGAGAAGTCACCCGACTTGTACAGGCTAAATAAGAAGCACAAGCGGCCGAGATGACAGCCAGAACAGAGTGCGCCCGGCTACAGAATGAAAGAGAGAGCCGCAAAGAAACAAAATGTCAGCAGTACCGATAAGAGCACAGTCACCGAAGCGGTAGCAACGAGGCACCAGGCACAACTGACAGATCCCACTATAAGCGAAGATGGAAACACTGAAAGAGAGAACTTAGATGCAGAAGACCCAGCTCAATTGACTGATGAAAAGCAAGAATCCAAAAAATTATAAATGCCAGCCCTCGTAGCCGATGACTAAATGACACCAGCCTATATCAATGAATTGGAGAAACTCATGAACGAGTTGTTATACCTTAAAAAGGGAGAGTGGAGGAGGAACGGCAGTTGGCATCTAACAGACTATGACGAAGATTTTGACTACAACAATCCAGACTTAAACGACCCAGAGGAATACGACGAACACAGGGAATTTGAAACCAGACTCCTCGCAGAAATGCAAAGAGCTCACAAAGTCCTTAACACGAAGAACACACCCAGCAATGGATGGAGCTAGTCACACAAACAGAAACACCGACGCCAACCCAAGAATTGTTAAACACACCAGCGACAACCCAAGCAGAAAATCCCACCCAGACGTGACCGAGCAGAATCCAGGCGACCAATAGCAAACACCCAAGCCGCCATGACAGCAGCCCAAGAAAGGAGAACGAAGACAATAAAA